AATACATACAAAAGAATTCTTTTTTTTTTGAACAGGCAGAGTGGAAGGTCTTCCTTTTCTGTTGGTTCACCCCCCAATGGCCACTGCGGCCGGCGAACTCAGCCAGTGCACTGCACTGATCTGAAGCCAGGAGCCAGGTGCTTCTCTTGGTCTCCCATGCAGGTGCAGGGTCCAAGGTGGGCCATCCTCCACTGCACTCCTGGGCCATAGCAGAGAGCTGGCCTTCCTGGAAGAGGGGCAACCGGGACAGAATCTGGCGCCCCAACGGGACTAGAACCCGGTGTGCTGGCGCCGCAAGGCGGAGGATTAATCTAGTGAGCTGTGGTGATGCCCCAGAAGAATTCATTTAAGGTTATGGGGAGGTGAGCCAAGGGGAAAAAGACTATTAAAAATCACGACAGTATTTCTGATTATAAAAATAATACAAAATTATTTGAAAATAATCTATGTAGGGACTGGCACAGTAGCACAGTGGGTTAAATCCCTTGCCTGGAGCACCGCCACCCTATACGGGCGCCAATTCTAGTCCCGGCTGCTCCTCTTCAGATCCAGCTCTCTGCTCTGGCCAGGGAAAGCAGTGGAAGAGGTCCAAGTCCTTGGGCCCCTGCACCCGCATGGGAGACCCAGAGGAAGCTCCTGGCTCCTGGCTTTGGATCAGCACAGCTCCAGCCATTGTGGCCATTTGGGGAATGAACCAGCGGATGGAGGACCTCTCTTTCTCTGTCTCTACATCTCTCTGTAGCTCTTTCAAATAAATAAATCTAAAAAAAAAAGAAAATAATCTATGTAAAAACTGAAAAGTAAATATAAAAGAATTATTTGTAGTTTATGTATCAATGATAGCTTCTATTATGTACTTCCTACATGATTGGCATTAAACCTACGAGTTTTATAATTCTACAAAGTATGAGGCAGATATAATTTCCAATTTACAGATGCAGAAATTGAGATTAATTTGACTTGCTGACAGAAGTAGGTCTAATGAAGAGCCAAGGTTGTGGCCCAGTGGGTTAAGCTGCTGCTTGTGACACTGGCATTGTCTGAGTGCCAGTTCAAGTACTAGCTCTTCTACTTCTGATCCAGCTCCCTGCTAATGTGCCTAGGAAGACCTGCTACCCACATAAGAAAACAGGAAGGCATTCTGGAATCAGTTGGGCCCACATTTGGCTGTTGTAGCCATTTGGGGACTGAACCAGTGGATGGAAGATCTCTTATTCTGACACTCTGCCTTTATAAAAACCAAAAAAGCAAAAAACAGGAAATAGCACTATGGAGGGTTAAGTTGCCCCACTTATTTGAGTCCTGACTGCTCTGTTTCTGATTCAGCTCCCTGTTAATATGCCACCCATGTGGAAGACCCAGATGGAGCTCCAGGCCCTCAGCTATGGCCTTGCCCAGCCCTGGTATAGCAGCCATTTGGGGGAATGAACCAACCAGATGGAAGATCTCTCCTTTCTGAGGCTCTGCCTTTGAAATAAATAAAATACATCTTCAAGAGCATCATCTGGGTCTCCCACGAAGGTGCAGGGGACCAAGCATTTGGGCCATATCTGCTCTTTCCCAGGCACATTAACAGGGAACTGGATGGGAATTAGAGCAGACAAGACTCAAACAGGTACCCATGTGGGATGCTGGCATTGCAGGTAGTGGCTTTACTGTGCAACACTGGCCCCAAATAAATCATATTTTAAAAAAGGTTCAATAAGCCATCACCTTTATGGAATGATGTGAAGCTATCTTCATCAATCTTTTAGGTACAGGCCCAAAAGTACCAGTCTACACCATCAAACATACAGAAGGGTTCCTATAGCTTCACATGCTGCCAACAATCACCATTATATAGTTTTCTAATTTCTGCTAATTTGATGTTTACAAAGCTCTATCTTGTTTCTTTACTTTAATTGTTGAGTTTGGGTACCTGCTCATGTGCCAAATGTCTTATTTTATCAATTGCCTACCAAAACTGTTTGTTTATTCTTGTTGATTTTAAGAAGTTCTTTGGATGTTCTGTATTAACAGACCCATGTCAGCTTTAAAACATTGCTAAACATCTCTCAATCTATTGTGAGTCTGATAACTTTTGTCTTTGGCAATGCTATTTAATTCTGTTGACCAGCTGCTATTCCACCAACTGTTTCAAAGTACTGGTCCATGACAAATGAGTTTGCACCAGACTGTTATTTCACTACAGTAGCAACTACACTATTTAGTACAATTGACATTTTTTTCTCAGTGAAGGCGTATTGATTTACATTCCAGTGTAAGTGCCTAAGGAACAGCATTGAGCTAGTGTTATTAAAAGATTTTTATTATAAAATTTAAATTTTTACAAGATTATTCATTTTTTGAAAGGCAGAGCAAGAGAAAGAGAGAATTTCCAACAGCTGTTTCACTCCCCAAATGGTCACAATAGCCAGGCCAAAGCCAAGAGCCAGGAACACTATCCTGATCTCCCACATGGGTGACAGGGGCCAAAGCACTTGGGCCATCTTCCGTTGCTTTCCCACGTGCATTAGCAGGAAGCTGGAACAGAAGCAGCCAGGATTCAAACCAGCCTGCATTTTAAGCAGTGGCTTAACCTGCCACACCACAACATAGGACTCTAAAATTTGAAATTTTATCCATAGGTGTGGCTTTATGGATTTTATGAATACCTTCCCCACAACTGAATCACAGTATAACCCCTGTTTTGTCTTCTCTTATGGTTTTACCCAATATAGCTTATTTTATGGGTACTCTATTTATTCATACTGTAAACTATGCTCTTTGCTCCAATCATTTTCTAACTGGTTATCACTCATACATACACTAATCTTTTACACAGTACTTTAATATTTTTAATAATTTTACATTGTGTCCTCACGAAAATAACACATTTTCTCTTCAATATGCATTCTTTCTTTCCTTTCTCTTACTATATAGCTTATGTTCTCTGGTGCAAATTAAAACACCAAACTAATTCCCAGCATCCTTGTGTGACTTTTTGAAAACAGAGATTTATTTATTTATTTGAAAAGGAAAAGTGACAAGGAGAGAGAAGAGACACAGAGAGAGAAAGAGATCTTCCATCATCTGGTTTACTCCTGGGGTTGGGCCAGGCCAAAGCCAGAAGTTAGGAATTCCATCTGAGTGTCCCCTGTAAGTGGCAGGAACTTGAGTACTTGGGTCATCATCTGCTGGCTCCAAGGTGCATTAGCAGGAAGCTGGATTGGAAACAAAGGTGGGACTTGATCCCGGGCACTCCGACATGGGATGCGGGCATTCCAGGTGGCAAGTTAACCTGCTGCACTCCAACACCAGGTGGGTTCTGCCTTACTTCTGAATTCAACAGAAATGCTTCAGCTTCTCCATTTACAACTTTTGGTACATAATTTATAAATTTAGAATTTTCCTTTCCTGGCTTCATTAGAGTTTGTATCACTTATTGTGCTAACAAGCAGAACTTTATCAGATGCTTTATCTACTGAGATATGGCTTGTTTTTCCTCTTGCTACTTGGAATCTGATTTTGAACTGCCTTGTGTTTTTTCAAATATAATGAGGACATATTTACAATATGTTAAGAAATACACATTCTGGGGCTGGTGTTATGGCATGGCTGATAAAGCTGCCACCTGCGGTGCTGGCATCCCATATGGGCACTCGTTTGTGTCCTAGCTGCTCCACTTCCCATCCAGCTCTCTGCTGTGACCTGGGAAAGCAGTAGAAGATGGCCCAAGTCCTTGGGCCCCTGCACCCCGATGGGAGACCCAGAAGAAGCTCCTGGCTCCTGGCTTTGGATGGGCGCAGCTCCTACCACTGCAACCAATTGGGGGGTGAACCAGCAGATGAAAGACCTCTCCCTCTCTCTCTGCCTCTCCTTCTCTCTCTATAATTCTTTCAAATAAATACATAAATCTTAAAAAAAATACACACTCTGATGAATTATAGGTAACTGATGGATTTTCTCTATACTTTCCTGTATGCCCTAGAATTTTCACAATACATGCTATACAAACACAAAAGTCACATAAAAATGATTTTCCAGGGATGGTGCTGTGGTATAGCGGGTTAAACCACTGCCTACAGCGCTGGCATCCCAAATGGGCACCAGTTCAAGTCCCAGCTGCTCCACTTTCTATCCAGTTCCCTGTTTAATGCACCTGGGAAAGCAGTGGTGAATTGCCCAAGAGTTTGGGCCCCTGCACCTATGCGCAAGATCCAGAAGAAGCTCCTGGCTTCAGTCTGGCCCAGCTCTGGTCATTGCAGCCATTTGGGGAGTAAACCAGCAGATGGAAGATCTAAGTAACTCTGCCTTTCAAATAAAAAAAGATAAATCTTTTAAAAAATTAAAAATATGATTTTTCAGTAATCATGGAAACCATGACTAGCCTGAAACTCGAGTTCTGTTATTTTGGAGATAACCATTCTGTTAGACTCTAAAATGCCTGCGTTAGTTTTACTCCAAAAATATTTTCCAGCAATGGTTATCCCTCAAACTGGAGTATGTATAACCAATAAGCTTCTAGGAATATTGCACATGGCTTTGTAGAGCTGATCTTTAATATGAAGCCTTTTGCCTTCAATTATAATCATTATCATCACAAACTCTTAAGTATCCTACATCATACTTTGTTTGAAAACCACCTTGAGGTTAGATATATTAAATCCCAGATAGAAAAACTGATATCAGAGCTAATAAGCAACATGGGGCCAGGAATCAAATCCACTTGATTTTATTATACTATGCTTCTCTGTCACACAGGATCTGATTTTGAATTTTCTTTGCAGAAGAGAAGCTGCAAACAAAGAAGCTTTCAAACAAAGTGCTTCTGCTTGAGTTCTTTAAAATTCACTACTTAGGTTTCTTTCAACTTAGAAAAGTGAGCCCCAATATTTCCATTCCCTTAGGCCAGCAAAGTTAACTTGGGGATTCTAACCCATTCTGACTTTAAGAAGCACCCGTGAAAGGAAATATATGCTCCAGTATTTGTTCCCTTCTCCTCTTCACCAAATACTCACCTCTGCCAAATGTTGCAGCCGTGTTAGCAGTGGGGTCCTCTTGTCAGATCCCAGACGTGTGATATAGTTTGATCTTTTGCTAAATACATACAGAAGGTTAAGGACAGCCAGCACCACTTGCATATCAGAGGACGCCAATAAAGTTGTCAAATGCTACAGGGACAAAAGGGAACAAAGTTCATGGTACCAGGGACACTCTGGCCTTGGAAACTTAAAAGAGCAATGTAACAATGTATTTGGTAACACTGACAAAGCTATTGAGTGGTCACAATACAAAAAAATTCTAAATATGAGAATCTACAACATGTCACCTGGTCCAAAAGGAGCTTACAATCTGGCAACTAGCCGGTAAGTACAATAAATGTAAAAAATGTAAGCAAATGTAAATAGCAGCTTAAAATTACATAAATGTCCCCACATGAAGGAAGACATTACAAAAGAGACAAATGTGACCTAACACATTAAGCTTCCAAGTGGACTAAGGTACTGTCACACATACAGACTTTTATCTTGTCATAATCCTCAAATAAGATAGATTAACAAGTATTTACACAGCATTTATATTGTATTAGGTATTATAAATAATGAAAGAATGCATTTGCTGATTGATTTTTAACAAATTTGTGCATCTGCAAATTTAGGTATCCATAGGGGATGTTGAAATCAATCCCCCAACAGATACCAAGGGAAGAACGTGTATATTTTGGGGGAGAGTATGAAAGAGTAAAGAAGAAAATGAAAAGCAGCATACTAAAACTTAAGTCTAGTGGTAGGTATGTAAATGTGTTAAGGCAACCAAACTATTTCTAATAGTTTAAAAGTAATCTGAGACTGCTCTAACAACCTGGGATGAAGACTAACTCTGGCAACTTTCCTAGAATACTTCAGAATATATATTACATTTCTCATTCATTTCTTCAATCTTGAAACTCAGGGTAAGGTGGTAGTACAGTACCTTCCCATCAATCCTAAGAAGCATGAAATCTATAATACAAGAAACAATCTTCCATTGTTTGTACAAAGAAAAGCCCAGAACTTCAGAATGAAAAGGAAAGAAAGCAAACATTAGAGAGAAATAACAATCTTTTTTTTTGGAGGAGTGGGTATAAACAATTCTAGTTAAGAACAGCCTACATAGGGCTATAACTTCCCCCTACCTCTATGGAACTGTACAGATGCCGAGAAAAGCTGTATTCAATGAGCAGGGCTGTGAAGTTCAACACAGCCAAAAGAAGCATTTTCAGTTGCTCTCTTTCCGGTCTATCACATACGAGCATCCATGACATGTTCTCCACTGTCTGTCCAGCATCTGCCAGAATTCCATCGAAGCGGTCCAACAGGTCCACCCAGTGATATAACTCGCACTGCAGAGGGGAAAAGAGGATATCAGAATATGGGAAAAGCACCGTATGCATGCCTTGCAGTTGAGCTTCCGTACGAGAAATTGCTGAGTATGGCACTTTGTCAAATTCTCTTCCTACTTTTTGCCCATATGAGAAAGAGCATATTCTGAGCTAAAAAGAACCTGAGAGTTCGTTTGTATACATCTCAAAGTAACGTGTCAACACCAGTAGACACAACAAAACCTTAATGATAAATGTTCAAGAGGGAGAATTCTGGCTACATGCTGAGATCTACGAAGATAAGCACTGACCCTATAAGAACTCATTTAATCAGAAGGGTTCATTTTTAGTTACCTAAAGAAAATTCTTTTAAACTAAAGGTAAAAATCTGTAGACTATCTCAAAGTCATACTGTCAAACTAAAAGAACTCTGTGGTTGACCTTCTTTATTATCACTTATGCAATCCTTGGCTAGACAAGTTTTCCCTTTGAAAATTTTCTTGGGAACGATTCAGGTTGAAGGTCACTGGTTTAGAACTGTGCTAGGCATATGCTACCTACTTATTAGGTAAGTGCTGTGACTACTCCATTGTGTTGCTATTTCTGTATCAAAACACACAGCACGACGTACTAGTAAAGTGAGTCGTATCTTCTGGAAGCATGAGTTCACATACCTTTCCAATATTCCATGTTTTGATCTGCTGTAGTTCCAAGAGGAGTTGCTCATCATTACAAACTTTGAGTTTGTCTATTAAGGCTCTGCAGTCTGCAGGCTGAGAAAAACAAATACACACAAAAGGTGTTTTGGAATATGTGACAGAGAGAGGGAGAAAGGGAAAAGTGGCCCTTGAGCCCACACAGTAATGTAATTTATGCTAGAATACAATACTTAAGAAAACCAGAGATTTGCCACATTATCATAGGATTACATTGGAAACCAAGAGAAAATGTTTCTTTCATAATAATCCATCTGTGCTAAAAACTTGATAAACCTATATACATGCAAAGTTCTTGGAAGGTTACAAATAACAGAAACGAAGGGAAAAGGCTAAACATTAACAGCAATTTGTATCAGAAAAATACAACCAGTGAAATCCCAACTAAAGGTGAAGATCAGCACTGGCTACATTTTCCTCCAACATTAAACCCTCCAACTGAGGGAAGGCAAAGAGCTTCTGAACTTTGTCAAACTAGGACGACTTCACTCCTTCTTGGGGTTCCCATTTCCATACATTTTTGCTTACTGATGAAAGGGCTTGTCTGCCAGGTAACAAGGAAAGGTTTGAGAGTTTAAAGTATCCAAAAGTAGAAGGGAGGAAGAAAATACAAGCTGGGACAGAAATGTGCTGTTAATGGATGACGCTGTGGTGCAGTGAGTTAAAGCCCTGGCCTGAAGCACTGGCATCCCAAAGTGGGTGCTGGTTCTAGTCTCAGCTGCTCCTCTTCCCATCCAGCTCTCTGCTATGGCCTGGGATAGCAGTAGAAGATGGCCCAAGTTCTTGGGCCCCTGCTCCCACGTGGGAGACCCAGAAACTCCTGGTGCCTGGCTTTGGATCAGCGCAGCTCTGGCTGTTGAGGCCATCTGGGGAGTTAATCAGCGATGGAAGGCTTCTCTCTCTGTCTCTACCTCTCTGTTTCTCTGTCTTTCAAATAAATAAAATAAATCTTTAAAAATATTTATTTATTTGAAAGGCAGAGAGAGGGAGAGACAGAGCTTTCATCCATTGTTTCATTCCACAAATGCCCCTATCAGCTAAGAGCCAGGAACTCCATCTGGTTCCCCCACATAGGTGGCAGAGACTCAAGCACCTAGGTCATAATCTGCTTTCTCAGGCACGTTAACAAGAAGCTGGATTGGAAGTACAGCAGCTAGGACTCGAACCTGGCACTTTGATATGGGATACTGGTGTCATAAGCAGCCGCTTAACCTGCAGAACTACAACAGCAGGCCCTACACTTTAACTTTATAAAGACAGAACAGTACCCTGGGAAGGGGCCCAGATTTGTAACCAAACAAATCTGGGTTCCGTTTTTGAGCTGTGTTTAGTCAGGTATCTGATCATGAGCAAGTCCAATCACTTAGGTTTCTTGCCTGAAACAGAATAGCTACCTTAGAGACAGGAAACTCAAATGTCTGCCACATACGTGAAGAACTTATCTCACATAACAACAGCTTAAATATTGAGAGGCGCAGACTTTGGAATTAGGTTGTCGATAAGCTAACTCTTTGAATCTCAGTATTCTTTTCTACAAAATGAACTAATGCCACTTATGTATACAGCAATACAGCAGTTGAGACTCAAACTGTGGGAATTTTATTTTCGGCATCTAAAACACAATGTGGACTATAACAAGAGCTTTAAAAAAACATACACAGTATGGCTAAAACTTCTAGAGTTCTTAATTGTGATTCTCTTTTTGGGGCACCACATGCATCCTTGACACCGAAGTCAAATAACTGGGTCTCCTAGATCATAATGTCCAAGTAGTAGGGCGGCTTGCATCAGAGCTTCTGCAATCTTTTCTAGATCCAAACCTCGCTAGCACTTTAGCAATGGCCCACTGAATGCTTTAAAGGTTACCCAGTAAATAGATCAAGATAGCATGACCAAATATGACAAAAAATCCAAAAGAAGTATCCTATACAGCATTCTTCTCCTTCACTGTGTGTGGGACAAGGTGCAGGGACTTGTCTTGCTTTTGAAAGGCATATCTCAATGTCTGTCAGACCTCAAAACCCCTAGAAATATTCCTTGTGTGGCAGCCCTGAAGCTTTCACAGGGTCCATTTCTGACCCTCTGGCACATGCATTTCTGAGGCACCTAAGATGCTTGTATTTCCTGCTCCCAAGAACCAGTTGGCATAATGCCATCTTTACCCTATTAGCCTCACTATATAAATGTAAACGTGATTTTTCCTTACTCATCCTAACATAAACAAAAGAGCTTGCCAGTTCAATAGCTCCATACCAACAGCCAGGGTTTCTATTGATTTGTTCCAACAGATATCAAACCTAGGGGAAAAATCCTTTGCACTGCTGTTGCTCTACAAATTATCAATGTAAGATATAATACCTAGTATTGACCACACCGTGGGAAAATGAACACTCTTACATTCTACTTGAGGAAAAAAGGCAATTCAAGTCTTAAAAATGTATATAGTTAGGCCAGCGCCGCGGCTCACTAGGCTAATCCTCCACCTTGCGGTGCCAGCACACGGGGTTCTAGTCCCGGTTGGGGCGCCGGATTCTGTCCCGGTTGCCCCTCTTCCAGGCCAGCTCTCTGCTGTGGCCAGGGAGTGCAGTGGAGGATGGCCCAAGTGCTTGGGCCCTGCACCCCATGGGAGACCAGGAGAAGCACCTGGCTCCTGCCTTCGGATCAGCACGGTGCGCTGGCTGCAGCGCGCCGGTGGCGGTGGCCATTGGAGGGTGAACCAATGGCAAAAAGGAAGACCTTTCTCTCTGTCTCTCTCTCTGTCTACTCTGCCTGTCAAAAAAAAAATGTACATAGTTGATAACCTAAAAATTCCACTTCTAGAAGCTTATCCTAAGTAATCTGCTAGAAGCTAGGAAAAATTAACCAGAAATTTGGATCAAATCCTTTATAATCCACTAAGTTAAAAAAAATACTATTTCTTTTGATGATCTATAAGGTTAAAATTATCGGGATGTTTACTAGTTTTGTTCTTTTCTGAAATGTTTTATGCTCATTTTGTCATTGGGCCATTCATTTTTCCTACTGATCTTACTACTAAAGATAGTGATTACACTGAAGTATCAATATTTTTCCCAGCTAGTCATGTGCCTGCGCCACTGTCCCTGCTTTACTAAGTTATAACGGATATAAAAAACTGTACATAATTGGTGTATATAATTTGGTGAGTTTGGATATACACATAAACTCACATTACCGTCACCATAACATAACCCAGGCAATAAATGTTTCCATCACCTCCAAGTTTCCTCCTACCCCTTTTTGTGTTCATGTTAAGAAATCTATTAACAAAATTTTAAGTGCACAATACTTTTGTTGACTACAGGCAATATGTTGTACAGCACAACTCTAGAACTTACTCATCTTGTATAACTAACTTTATATGCACTGAACAACTTCCCCCATTCCCTGGCATCCACCACTCTATTGGCCATCTCTGTGTCTATTTTAGATGCCTCACACCAGAGGCATCATACAGTATTTGGACCTTTACAACTGACTTAATTCACTTTGCTTGATGTCTTTCAGGGGTTGATTTCCAAAACATACATATATATATATATATATATAATATATAAGGAACACCTGCAGGGGCTGGCTTTGTAGCACAGCAGGTTAAAGCCACCAACTGCAATGCCAGCATCCCATATAGGCACCAGTTAATAGTCTCAGCTGCTCTACTTTCGATCCAGCTCCCTGCTAATGTGCCTGGGAAAGCAGAAGATGGTAAGTACTTGGGCCCCTGCCACCCACAAAGCTCCCGGCTCTTGGCTTCAGTCTAGTCCAGCCTTAGTCGTTGCAATTAATTGGGGAGTGAATCAGTGGATGGAAGATCAATCTCTCTCTTTCTCTCTCTGTCTCTCCCTAGAATTCTACTTTTCAAATAAATAAAATAAACCTTTGAAAAAACTCAGGGCTTCTAGCCTAGCAGTTAGATCACTGGTTAAGATGTACACGTCATATCCAAGGGCCTAGGTTCAATACCTGGCTTTGGCTCAAGTAAACAGATTCCTGAACCCCATAGGAGACCTGTATTGAGCTCCTGGCTTTGGCCCAGTCCAGTCCTGGCCATTGCAGACATCTGGAGAGTGAACCAGTAAATGGGAGTCACTCTCTGAATGTCCGTCTAATAAATGAACACTTTTAAATACTCAGAAGCAAAAGCCGATAAAAGTAACTGCAAGAGATAAATAAAAAGAATATATTCTCGGGGCCGTCACTGTGGTGTAGCAGGTAAAGCATCCATGGCCTGCAGTGCTGGCATCCCACATGAGCGTCAGTTTGAGTCCTGGCTACTCCACTCTCTGCTATGGCCTGGGAAAGCAGAAGATGGCCCAAGTCCTTGGGCACCTGCACCCACATGGGAGACCTGGAAGAAGCTCCTGGCTTTGGATCAGGCCAGTTGCAGCCATTTGAGGGGGGAGTGAATCAGAGGATGGAAGACACCTCTCTCTCTGCCTCTTTGTAACTTTACCTTTCAAATACATAAACTTTTTAAAAAAAAATCCTCTCATATATATATATATGGCATTCAGTAAGAAACACAGTCACATGACAATGTCAAATACAAAATGAAAGCTATAAGATAACTGATACAAGGTCCAAAAGCTTGAAAAATACATAGATTGAAGCAATACAGGTTAGATCAGTGAAATACTTCTTCCCCCATCTGATAAACTTATAAAGGTTGAAAAGATAATCTGTGAAAAGATAACACCAGTGAGGATACTGGGAAACAATACTGATGAACGGGCAAGATAACTGTGCACATGCAATAATTTTTAAAAGACTGGAAGAAATACAAAAATGTTAAGAATGGAGATCCTTCAGTGATAACTTGGTAGATAGCTTCATTTTTGAAAAACAAAAAACAAGCAGTTTGTATTTAAAAACTTAACTAATTTATTACATGTCAGACACTGTGCTAAGTAATTGGCTCGTATCAAGGAGGGAGGAACTGTTAACCCATTTTGCAACTGTGGAAACCAGGCAAACTAATAAACTCTCACCTACAAATGCAGGTCTAATTCTAAAGATTGTGCGCTTTGAACTACAGCACAAGGGTCTACAGGAGTATCTTAAGCAATGTTTCCTTAACTTCAGAATGCAGGGTTCAAATCAGCTGATGGCATACTAGACTGAAGCTGAAATTCTACTGCTGAAATAGGATCAGCTGACATGGACACACAATACAGAGGTTAAACTGAATTGTATGATTGTTTATTACTATAAAGAAAGCTAAAACACAGGCTTCACAAGAACACCAGTAAGTTGTTACTACTTTCATTTCCAAGAGTTACAATGAGAGAGGAAGAGACAGAGAGAAAAGAGATCTTCTGCCCACTGGTTCACTCCCCAAATGTCTGCAATGATCAGGTCTGGGCCAGGCCAAAGCCAGGAGCTCCATCCATGTATCCCACGTGGGTGCAGTGGCCCAAGCACTTGGGCCATCCTCCAATGCCCTCCCAGGTCATTAGTACGGAGCTGAATCAGAAGCAAAGCAGCTGGGACTCAAAACTGGTGCCCATATGGGATGTCAGCACTGCAGATGGTTGCTTAACCTGCTACACCACTGTACTGGCCCCACTACTTTAAATTCCTACCCCCCAAAAAATCATGGGAGCAGGTGTTTGACACAGTGGTTAAGATGCCACTTGGGATGCCTACATCCTTATCAGAGTGCTTGGGTTACAGGTCTCCCTCTGTTTTTAATCCAGCTTGCTGCTAACACACACTGTGGGAAGCTGCAGGTGACGGCTCAAATACCTGGATCCCTGCCACCCACATGGAAGACAGATGGAGTTCTGAGACCCTAGGTTTGCCTTGATCCAACCCTGGCTATTTCAAGGATTTGAACAGTGAATCAGAAGATCGAAGATCTTGATCTTGATTTCTCTGCCTTTCAAATAAAACTAAAAAAAATTTTTTTAAATATTTAAAAAAAAAAGAATAAAATTGTATGAGCTCTCACAGCTACAGTCAGAATTTTAATCCACAGTTGCTCTTTCCATTATACCATACTGCCTTTCAATGCATAGGAATAGCAGCCTAAGAGCCTACTTCAGTTATACAAAGAACTGTCTAGAGCTCATTTTCCATGGGTCACTTGGCCATTCAATTTGTTAATCAAGGGGAGTTCAAAACAAAGTTTTAGTGTTTCAAGGCAAGTAGCTGTTTTACTGCACTTTGCATATGAATGCTGACATTTCTGGAAGATCAGTATGGATGAACCGATCACAAGGATTTTTCTCTGTAATGAAGAGATAGGCAAAGCAAATTTCTAGATACTTACGGCCTCTGTAGGTGTCTTTTTCAGTTTAGTCCTGTCTACTTTCATGATTTCGATTATTTGCTTTATGATCTGAAAAGAAAAAAATTCCCAAAAGAAGTGAGAACTTAAAGCTACAATTGAAAGCTCCACAAGCTTAGACACAGACAACATACAATGTAGACTCTGTCATATTTTTAAAGTAAAAATACTGGAAGGATGCTATGCTAATTCAGAGGCCCGGCTATTAGTTAGTAAGGTGTACACACATATACAACACACAAGGATTCAATCAAGGTAATTAGCATCAATTCATTTAAAAGTGTTATCATTTAATACTTTTCTATTTTATTTATTTATTTATTTTTTGACAGGCAGAGTGGAGAGTGAGAGAGAGACAGAAAGGTCTTCCTTTTGTCGTTGGTTCACCTTTCAATGGCCGCCGCGGCCAGCGCACTGTAGCCATCGCACCACGCTGATGCGAAGGAAGGAGCCAGGTGCTTCTCCTGGTCTCCCATGGGGTGCAGGGCCCAAGCACTTGGGCCATCCTCCGCAGAGAGCTGGCCTGGAAGAGGGGCAACCAGGACAGAATCTGGCGCCCCAACTGGGACTAGAACCTGGTGTGCCGGTGCCGCAGGCAGAGGATTAGCCTATTGAGCTTCGGCGCTGGCCATCATCTAATACTTTTCTATAAGGAGGATTTCTGAAGGAAAAAGTTGATACTTAGGGTATAAAATTCCATATTCCTTTTTAAGAAATTACTTCAGTAACTAATACTAAAAAAAGCACACTGCCAATAACCTCAAAATATTGAAACGAAGCCAGTAAGATTTTGGCAACAATCTTATCCATGTAGTGCAAATAATAGGCTGAACTATTTGTACACTTACTCTCAGGCTTGCATTTTTCTCCCTTTTATCACAAAACTGTTTACATCCATCACATCTATTATATATCAAGTAGCTGTCATACTATTGTGGCTGCAGTCATTAGCTGGAAGGCTACTAATACTGCTTCTACTGTATGAAGTACCAGTTAGCCCTGACACCATACAACTCAAATAACAGATGATTTCCCTTTGGGATCAGGAACAAGGCAATGTCTGTTCTTACCCCCTTTATTCAACATTATGTTAATTTTAACCCCTATAATATGGCAAGAAAAGGAAATAACACGCATACAAATCAAAAATGAAATAACACTTTCCCTCTTTGCAAATGACAAAGGATTATCTACACAGAAAAATCCCACAAATCTAATACTCATAGCAAAGTTTATTTTTTGACACAAAATGTTTTTTTAAAATTCCTGCACAGTTTTAAAAATAGCACCTATTTTCAGGAACTTTGAATGCGAATGGGAATATGATTGCTTGCATGGATGGATTTTTTGGCACCACAATAAATTCATATTTCCTAAAAACTTTTTGAAGCATCCTCATATTACATGTCAACAAATAGGAAAGCTCGATATTGTCAAGGCGTTAGCTATTCCGAACTTCACTTATAGAGCCAATGCAAATCTAATAAAAACCTCAGCAAGTTATTCTGTAGATACTGACAAAATCATTCTAAAATTCATATGGCGAGGCAAAAGACTGAGAATAGCCAACACAGTATTGAAGGAGAACAAAATCAGAGGGCTCATGCTACTTTAAGATTTACCATAAATGTACAGCAGTCAAAAGACTGGAGTACTGGTGAAAGAACAGGAAGGGGAAGCCAGAGACAGACTCACACAGCCAACTGATCTTTGGCAAGGAAGAAAAGGCAATAAAGACAAAAGAATTTTTTCAATACATTGTGCTGTTAACAGGACATCAACATGTACAAGAAATGCAGACCAACATTACACCCTTCACAAAAATTAACTCAAAATGGATCAGAGACCTAAATGTAAACCTAAATGGAAAAGCTAAACTTTACTTCCAGAAAATATCACAGGAGAAAAATCCAATTACCTACAGTTTGGTAATGACTCTGTAGATATAACCAAAGGTATGATCCATGAAAAAAGTTGATAAACTAGACTTTATTAAAATTAAAATCTGCTCTGCAAAAGACACTATCAAGAGAATAAAAAGACAAGCCAGAGGCTGGAGAAAATATTTGCAAAAGACATACAAAGAAAGGACTGTTATCTAAAACACACAAAGAACTCTTAAAACTTCGCCTTAAGAAGTGAGCCAATTTAAAACATAGGCCGAAGACCTTAACATATACCTCTCCAAAAGATATGCAGCTGAAAAATAAACATGCAAATATTTTCCACGTAAGTCATCAGGGAAACACAAATTATAAGGAAATACACTCATGAGAGTGACCAAAACCCAGAACACTTGAACACTAAATGCTGACAAGACTGTGGAACAACAGAATTCTCATTCACTGCTGGTGGGACTGCAAAATGGTACAGGTACTTCAGAAGTTTTCTTACAAACCTAAACACCTTCTTACCACAGGACCCAGCAATCACACTCATTTATATTTATTCAAGGAGTTAAAGTAAGTTTTTACAAAAATCTACACGTAGATATTTATAGCTTTATTCCTAATTGCCCAAACTTGGAAGGAACCAAGATGTCCTCTGGCAGGTAAATGGATAAAGGGTGGTAGAATCAGACAATGACATGTTATTCAACCCTAAAAAGAAATGAGCTATTAAGCCATGAACAGATATTGAGGAAACTTAAGCGGTCATTTCCAAAAGGCTACATACAGTATGATTCCAACTATATGACATTTTGGAGAACTATGCAGACAGTTAAAGATCAGTGGTTGCCAGGGATTAGTGAGGAGGAAGAAATGAACAGGCAGAGCCCAGAGGATGTTTAGTGCAGTGAATCTACTCTATGATACTATAATGATGGATACATGTCATTTTAAGTACGTCCATACCACAAAAATTAAAACACTGAGGGAAAATCCCAATGTAAAATTATGGGTTTTGGGTGACAACAATGCACTAATATAGGTTCAACAATTCTAACAACTATGTCACTCTGGTGGAGGAACCTTGATAATGTGGGAGGCTATGCATATATATGTATGGGGGAAGTGGAATATGGGAAATTTCTGTATTTTCTACTCAATTTTGCTGTGAACCTAAAACTGCTCGAAAAAAAAAAATTCTATTTAGAAAACCTCGATCATTATTCCAAAATAAGAACATGGATTAATTTGTGTGCTGAAATAAGCAATTCACAATCATTTAACTGGTTTAAAAATTATGTTAAAGTCCCTGGTAAATCTTCACGCAAGCATCTTGCTTTAACTTAGGATATTGTGCTAGTCAAATGTCTGCAAAGATACAAAGACTCTGGCTAAGTAATGCAGAAAGTAATTTACTGGAAGGATACTGGATAGTTCAAAGAACTGACAGACGGCTGGATCTACATTCAAAAACTGGAAGGAACCAAGAAACCTAGAACTACAGCCAAGGACCTCCCACAGAAACACTTAGTTGGGAGTGCTTCTGCTGCCAACAGAATGAGTTCTAAATCATCTCAGGTTATTTGCATCAGTGGCTCTAGACTCTAAGTCCTAAGTGTGAGCCTGTGATGCACCCAGTTTAGAAAAAAAGCCAAAACAAATGAACAAACACACACAAATTTCTACACAAGTATAATGCTAATCTGGCTTCTGTAATTCCACTGCCAATATTCATAATTTAAAAAATAAAGATAACACTGCCTATGAGTCATCAAGTTAGAAAACTCCAGGGTGGGCATTTGGCCTAGTGGTTTAAGATGCTATGTCCTGCACTGGGAGTACCTAGGTTCAATGCTCAGCTCCAGCTTCTGACTCCAGTTGCCTGCTAACATGCACCCTGGGAAGCAGCAGTCATGGATCAAGTAACTGGGTCTTTGACACCCATGAGGGAGGCCTGGACTGAGTTCTCAGCTCCCAGTTTCGGCCTGAATGGACCAGTGGATGGGAACTTGCTCTACCTAATAAACTTGGGGGAAAAAAATGAAAACTCAGAAGTTTTATTCCTAGCTATCATACTTCTAATCTGGTTTCACAGTGAGAGGGGATAATGTCTTCTGAGTTTCCAACAAGCCAGACAATACTGAGGCTGGTGTTTCCCAAAATGTGTTAGAGCCTTGCTCTGTGCAGGAAGACAAGGATCCGGTAATTTGGTAAATGTTACAGAATCTCCCTTCCTCTAGGATGGTCACATGGCTGACATTATTAGTGGCTCTGAGAAATCTTGGGTAAAGGAAGCTCATTAGGGCACAGAATCATTTTTTTCCCAGTGGTATCTACTGAAAGTCCAGCAATTTAAGTATCCCAAAGAATACACTTTGAGATACACTGCCAAGGGTCTTCATGCAATATTCTTTCATACTCACACTGATTTCAAAATGTTTTTACACAAAATAAAGTTATTTTTTAATTTCATTTTTATGCACACTTTGAAGTGCCTTCATAAAACCCTCACCACTCTAGTCAAGTTTTACATCTGTTTATAGATAGAAACTGAGGCTCAGGAAGAAAAGTACCTTGCCTGCTTGGTAAATGTTGGCATCAAGATCTAAATTCAGGTCTGACTCAAACCCATGCTTTAATAACATGCTATTCACTCTACCAGTTTTATTACTATAATAAATGCACATGAGAACATAAATTCATGGCAGATTCTTCTCCACTTTTAGATTCTATTGTTCAAAAGTATTCAAGAGAGGAAGCCAGAGCACAAGATGAGAAGCGGAGATACTGTCAATCTCAGTAATAAAGTAACGTAGGGATGTGTTCTACATACTCTTAGAAGCTAAACAGTTGAAAATCCAATTACATTTAAAAAAATCTAACAAGAAACAAAAATATTTAAAACAAATCCCTAGAAATGGCCTACTGCCTTTGTTGATCAGAACCAGAATTCTGAGCACCAAGCTCAAGTCAGAAAGATGGTCAACTTGAAGAAAACTAATGAATTATTGTTTTCAATCTTCATTTCAACTTTCCACTTACTTCTGAGGTTTGAATTTTGATTTTGTAGTATTAAAATATATTGAGGGGGCCGGCGCCGCGGCTCACTAGGCTAATCCTCCGCCTAGCGGCGCCGGCACACCGGGTTCTAGTCCCGGTTGG